TTGTAACTGTTTGTCTCTTTATTATTTAATTATAACAACTAAGCTCTATTTAGTTTAGTTATTTGAACAATTGATAGTAGATATATATTAAATTTCTAATAACTGATATATTTATTGTTGTTGCTATAATTCAAACGCTTGTTAAATATTAATCATTAGTTATAAATTGTTGAAAACAGCTGAACAAAACAAATCTTTAACTAAACTAAATAGACCCCTAAACTAAAGATGGTCTTATCAGTTATCATATTAATCACACAAACAATTGCGTCAAATATATAGTTTAATCGTTGCCAATGACATGGGCATAAGAGAGATTAACCATTGGGTGGATTGACTCAAAAACCTTCTCTTTTTGAGGTAAGCGTGAAGAGAGATTAACATCAGAGATTTGACCAACAAAATACACTTTTCTTATGGTTTGATTTTTGATTGTGTTGGCATAAGCAAAGGTAGACAAAGCGACCATCTTTTACTATTCCAAGAAAAAGTCTTTTAAGCAACTTCTCTTTTCCTTTTATTTTTATTTTTTATAATTTTACTAAAATATTGGGTATCCAATGAGAGGGAAAGAAAAAAAAAAAAAAACTATGATTAAAAAAACAAACCAGGTTGGACCAGCTGGTTCACCTTATTTAAGCACTGATCATAAGGCTGTCTGGTTCAATTATGACCAATGAATTGAATGAAGCCAAATCCAATTTTGTGAGCTGATTTTAATTTTTGAACCAAATAATTCACAGACGCAGTTTATTCGAACCGAACCTTCTTAATTGGTTTGGTTTAGAAACAGAAAAACACTATAATTAATATACAAATGGAAATAGACAAGGTTATAGTCACAAAAAAAAAAACTAAGATTATTAAAATTATAAAATGTTATATTAAAAATATTAATTTTATTTAATTTGATTCACAAAAATAATTAATAACTATAATTAATATTTATTAATTAATAAATCAATATTTTCATACCCTACATAACAATAAAACTTAAAATATATACCAATAGTCTAACACATAATAATTTATTGACCACCTTAATAAAAAAAATACTTAAACATCTAAAACCCGAGTTTTATATTTAGATTTCCTTTCTCGAAATTCCATACCATTAAAAAAAAAAAAACAACTTAAAATATCAATAACCTTGACAAGTTTTAACTATAGCAATAACCACAGCCGGTGAAAATGAGTGAGATTTTCGTGAGATGGGACCCCAAGACAAGGAGCGGGTTGGGGAGTATGCAATGTATATATGAAGGAAATTAGAATGGACATGAAGAGGATGTGAAGGAAGGTAGATATGTCATGCTTTAGGGATCATTGCAATTATTGAACTCATGCAGGCTTTAATGATAAGTTGGACAGACTGGAATTATTAGGTTGGACCCACGCAGAACCGTGGCATGAAACCTGGCCCGCACAATAAGCTATGCCCAACCACTCCCTTTGATTTTATCACATTTCCAAATAGGAGAAGGGAAGTGCAATATGCTAATTAACAGGCCTAAGGGAGTATTTTATTTAAGGATTTATTTAATTTGTATTTTTAAGGTATAAATTGATAATGTAATTAATATATTTTTTAATATTAATTAGTAAGAAAATAATAAAAATTGATATTAATTTTATTATCAATGCTTTATTATCATTTCAATTAGATAATTAATTAACATGTGCTTTAAAAACTCAAATTAAAAAAATTCTGTACTTAATTATGGATGAGGAGGTGAATTTTATTTTTATATTAGGAATGCATTTTTTTATCAAATGATTAAAGTAGTGTAGTTTGTGCAAGAGGCAAATTGTATTGCGTCGTTCTCTTTCCTAATAATTTAGCTTAATTTTTTATTTATAGAATGTTTAAATTAATAGAGATTAGTGTTTATTGCACATTGTATAGTTATGGTGCTGAAATTATCAAAATAATATTAATAAATAAGTATAGAAGGGAGTTTCATCAAAAGGTATTTTGATAATTTCAATATTTGAATTACATCTTTTTGTGTTGCCCATATTGAAAAAAAGAAAATTCTTAAATTAATACTACATCCATCCTCAAACACTATTTTTTTTTTCTTGAAAACAAATTCGTTAACCAAATCAATAACGAAAATCTATAATGAAATGTAAAATTGATTAATTATATAATAATATGTAATAATTATAAATTTATATTATTATGTAATGTTATGATTACATCATTTTTATATCATGAATAACCAGAAGCTTGAAGGAGCAGGACGACAAGCTTGTAATACATGATCGCCATTACTCAATCTTGCGAAGTTGTAATGGAACCCCAAATGATGATTGGTATATGCGGGTGTTGTGGTGTGGTGTGGTGTGGTGTGGGCATTTTCAGTTTTTTTAATCTTAATTTTAGTTTGAGGGAAATAGAAAGAAGAGATAATTAAATTTAAGGTTAAAATAAATAAATAAAATAAAACAAATATCCTCCCTTCCATCTTTAATTTTTTTATAATAATAATTAGTACATTCCTTTATTTAATATATTTTAAAATATATTTATTAAAAAGTTATTATTTTTTAAATTTAGATTTAAAATAAAAAAATTTCATTTATAAAATTTAATAATTGAACTGCTAAATATTAATAGGTGTATTAAATCAAATCATTATTTATTTTTTATTCAAATAAAAGAACTTTCTTCTTTCTACTTCATTTCACTCGAACCCAAAAAACCCCTTTCAATGTTGAATGGTGACGAGTATACCATCATTATTCTCTTTAGAATAGAACATTATCATTACTATCATTATTTGCAAAGGTAAAGTATGGACAATTAGCTTTTTCTTGGGCCGTCGGCACTTAATTAACTTGATTACCAATTTTATTAACTATTAATTAATTTATCTTGCATTAATATACAGAACTGGATGTATTGACGGGTGATTGCAATATAAGCTAGTTTCAAGGTTAGCACTTAAAAAATTATTATTATTTAAATGTAACATACTGATGTGAAAACGTATTTTTAAAATTAATTGAAAAAAAAGATTTGAAATATGTGTAAATTGATTTAAAAACACCTTAATACTTAAAAAAAAAAAATTGCACTGCATTAATTATGTATGTTCAAATCACTATTTTTTATTCTTGTTTTTAAATATAATTATTTTTCATCTAAAAAGCCATAATAAATATTAATCATTTATAGTAAAAAAATAAATAGCTAAGATTTGGTGTATGTGATGTATATAAGAATAGTATGATCAATTTACAAATAAATTTTAAATAGAGTTGTAACTGTTTGTCTCTTTATTATTTAATTATAACAACTAAGCTCTATTTAGTTTAG